TTGTAAATTAATTAAACAACTTTAACAATTGCAGATTCGATAAAATAGCAGTAAATTACATTGATACTTTATCGAATCTGCAATTGTTAAACACAATTGCTCGGCCTCTGCTCTTGGGATTCCTTTGGGGGCACTTGATTTTGGTGTGTCCCCGCTTCCCACATAACCAACATATGACGCCTATATATATGAAAATATAAAATTCTAGTATGTAGACTGTAGTAGTACTGCATTTTAACAAATTGAGTGCATGGCAGCACTCTTCACTTGTCAAATCAACTGGTTTACGTACTATTTAAAACACGAGTAGGAGTGTTTTATCAGATATCTATATATGCATAATTATAATTGCGCCTATTTTTATTTTCCATGAACACTGTCAAAGAAACATTCATTTTCCAACATACAATAATGATTAAAATTTGTTGTAAACTTGGTGCATTATATTTTCTGAATAATATCACATGACTGTTATAATAAATAGTTTTAGTAAAGCACATACGTGAGCGGCACGCCACAGCGTAGTGACCATGAAGGCCACACTTATAGCAACGTCCCAAATTTAAAGAAAATACAACCAGTTTTTAAGAATATTCATCTAGGTTACAGTACATAACCTGTACTGGAAGTGCACTCACAAAGATATTTCGTCATATTTAACAATTATTCGCCGAAGGCGAAGTGATTACCGGTGAATATTCACCGAGACGAAGTCGAGGTGAATATTCACCGTAATCACTGAGCCTGAGGCGAATAATTGTTTTAGTATAAATTTTTAATGAATAAAACAAAATATCCAAGTTATCCAACTATAAGTTTAATTAAAATTCAGAAATAAAACTGTTTTCGACCGGTTTACGGTTTAGTGTTGCAGTGTTTCTTGTACACGCACGCTTTCAAAATGGCTTCCTGTGCGACTTTATTGCTTTATTACAAAGTTATTTTTCGCGATTTCTGCTTAGAATATAAACACAATGATGGAATGACTTTTTTACCAGACTTCGAATTAAAAAATAGTTTCTGTTTAGCATTAATTTGTTCAGGAAATGGCTGAGAAATATGGTAAAATGAAATGTAAAACTATATCGTTCGAATTAATATAAAAGTTTTAATACACTTTTCACTTTACAAGTTTTAAAAACACAAATAGTACAATACAGCGAAAGGACACCATACAGCACAATGAAAACACGACATAGTCAAAAGAAATACTATCGTACAAATTGAGATATTTATAGGATACAAAACAAAATTGTTTTAAAAAGAATACCACGGCTTTTCCCAAAAGTCGGGATATTTTTTGCTATTTCAGATTTACGTTTGAAGCGAATGTTTCGGAGTTTTAAATAAGTTTTAAATTGTCCGTGAATATGTTTGACACAGTAATATAATACTAAATCCTACCTTTCAAGTTAAATACAACATTTTGTGCTTTTTTCCTTTTTCTGGGACGATTTTTTCAATATTTTGTCGATTTTGAAACCAAATTTGCCGAATCATTCTTTTTGAAAAGCATTATTTACTACCCAGGTGGTAAATAATGCCTCAGATTTACTAGTCAACTAGCCAATCAGAACGCGCGAAAGCTCATTTGATATGCAAAATTTATACTAAATCTAGTTATTTGACGAAATATATATATGTTATTTACCGGCTGCGAGGTCCGGATGAGAAAAACTGTGCCCGAGGTCTTGAAAACGGCCCGAGCTCGAAGGGCGAGGGATGTTTTCAAGACCGAGGGCACATTTTTTCTCATCCGGACCGATGCTACCGGTAAATAACGTGTTTATTTTTTATCAGATGTAAAAATTAAATTGATTAAAATTCCAGTGATGCTTGCGAACTAATTTGAGATCAGTGCAGTTGTGTATTTTCAAATCGAGGCTCGGAGGCTGACAAAAATTGAAAAGTTAAAAGATATATAACACGAATACGAAAACTCGAGAAAACTGGCAAGAAACACACAAAAAGACATTTCGTTTCAGTAAAAATGTACATGCTTTTTTCATGAATATGGTAGCAGAAAAGCTTTGGAATAAAAACTTTTATGCCTGGCGTTTTGGCTTTGGCTTTGACAAGTTGCTCCCAGGACGACAGGTTCATGTTCAGATCCGATCAAAAACATATAAAAATGAATCTGTTTTGATTTAATTAACGTTTTTCTACTAAAAGGACAATGAAAAAGGTACGTTATTTTTATACTTTTGTATTTTTTTCTTGTCGTTTCAAGATAATATGCTTGAAAAAAGTGTTTTTAAACACAAACTTTTACTTTGTTTACAATATTTATATCAGTGAAAAACACATGACACAAATGGGTAGAGAATATATTCGTGACTTGTTTTCACTGCTGCTGTTAAGCCTTCTTTGAAATGGGAAAACATTTATTTTACAATATCTGTTTAAGCTGTAATTTTTTGCTTTTAAGTGGCCGAATACATGAGCATTCAAAAAATATATAATTTTCTCGACGTAAGTTAATATATACATGTCAAATACTTTCCGACTTCCAGTCGCATTTCTATATCAAAATATTGTCAATTGTCGTGAACATCGTGCTTAGTATGAAGCCTTTAGGGCTTGATGCAATTCATTTTCGTATTCTGACTATCATTAGGCTATGTTTTTCAAACGTTTTTGGCAGATTTTTTCGTTTAAAAATTGTTTCACTCCTCGGTTTTTGGCGCAAAAACCAGAGCGGGCAGTTGCATTTCACAGCGGGCAGTTGCGTTTCAGAGCGGGCCGGATGCAAAAAACCGGCCCGCTCTGAAAGGCTCCTCAGCCAATCAGATTGCTTCATTTTCACTGATAAAAAATAAATCATAATATTACCTCTTGTCCGTGCTTGATTTCCTAAGTTAGAAAAATAGAAACAAACTTATAAGTTAATATGTATATAACTGACAATGAGGCTCATATAAACTATTGGGGTCAGGCTAACTTTGGGCATGTCTGTTTATTTCAATATTTCCAAGAAATAAACACCTACATGTATGAATCCAGACAAGATCTCTGAAGAAATATTTCCAAATTTATAGAGAAGCTGTCAGGAAGTTTGCTTTGAATTTTAGGTTAACCTAGGGTTAAGCTAACTCTGCCTTGAACAACCCGCCCTAATGGTATAAATCTATTTCAAGAACTATACCTTCACGTTGTCGGCGTTCATTGTTAACTGAAATGAAAAAATGTTGATTAGTATTAATAATTAAAGAGGTGTAATTAACCCATTGAGTCACATTGCACCCTGATGCACCCTATTTTAGTATTTTACTCTGTCTAATGCCAGACGATTTTACTCGTCAAGGGGAGAGCGCTGGCACTTAATGGGTTAAACAATATAAAAAAGCATACTATTACCACGTTGTTGATGTTGTTGGCGATGAACTGGAAAGAAATAGTATTTTTGTTAGAACAATTATTACAGATTTTTATAAAGTATCAAATATAAGTAAATATCAAGAACCATACCATTTTGATGTTGTTGCTGATTCACTGAAATCAAATCATGTTATTATATTAGTATTAGTTATAACTATAATTCTGATTGAACAACACTGGATATATTACAGTAACAGTATATTCTAAACTTACATGGCTGGACCGCCTCTTCAGGTCCCCCAACCTGCTCTGCATCCTCTTCATCTACAGGAAGATGTACAGTTAAATAGAAAAAATGTTGCCAAAGTTCATACGAAATCTGCGATTATTATTGACCTGTATCATGCATGCCAGAAAACATTCACAATTTCACCATGGAGGGAATATTTGAAAGTTAATCTTTTTCTCCCTTTTGGTACATTTTCTTGTCACCTGATTAGTTTGGAATTACACAAGGGGATTACTACATCGGTTGTTGAAGTTCTCCCAACATTGGCCATACCATTGCGATCTGGATGATGATCCAACCTTGCAAGCCAGGTTCTGTTAAGGAGGGAAGCGTGAGTAGAGAGCCTGGCTTGCGAGGTCGATGATGATCCTTATTTACCAAAATGAAATAATAACTTGATTCGTTGAATGTAAATGATAGACAAATACATGTATATAAAAAACTATACCATTGCCATCCTGCTGTTGCTCATTCACTGAAATGAAATCATGTTTTAAAATTAGTATAAAATTAATACACTATGTTTAAATTATTAATTAATACTAAACTTATCATATGTTGTAAACTTACATGGTGCCACATCACGAACTTCATCCATCATATCTATAGTTAATTGCAAAAAAACTGTTGTTAATTAACTTCTTTGGGTATATCTGTAATTATACCAAATATTTTACATGACAATATTTAATTATCAATCGTATAATCAATTGGGTCATTCCAGAAAATATTTCAAAACTCCCTCTTGCAAAAAACAATGTATCTATTACCCTTGGCTTTTCTCAGACAAATTAACCCTGTAAGTGGCAATGAGCCCAGATGTGCCCTACTTTCTCTTATTATTCTGTCTAATGCCAGATGATTTTACTCATCAGGGAGGGAGTGCTGCCATTTAAAATGGGTTAATTTATCAGACTATTTGCCCATGGACTATGTGTTCACCAAGTGGAAATGCGCCCAGATGTACCTACTTTTTAAATTTACTGTCTGATGGCAGGAATTTTTCTCGTCAGGGAGAGAGTGTTGACACTTCATGGGTTAACATACACCCATAATCTAAAAGCTCACTCACACTCAATGAGTGGAGATTCAATCTGAGCTTTTCTTGAGTGTCAATGCTGTTTTTGAATAGGTGGAGGGTGAGCAGTCACATACTGTAGTAAGGTACGACACTATCCCTCCAGCTATTCAAAAACAGCGATGACCCTCAAGAGAAGCTGAGACTGAACTTACACTCATTGAATATGAGTGCGAATGAGCTTTAGAATACGGGCGATAACCCCTTTCTCTCACAAGAATTAAATTTTTGGCCTTCCGAAAGAGAAATTCACAAATTTTCTCCATGGTCTTTCAGACTCAACCAATTTCTGTTCATCAGAATAAATCATTGAATTTAATTACCATCATCAACCAGTCCATCTAAAATAAAAAAGGTTTTGTTAGAAGGTTTTATTAATTAGTTAAAGTTATCATGTTACAATATAGATTATACGAAATTACATTCTCAGTACCAGTATTAATAGTTTTTATTTAAGTTATATTTCCTTACGGAGTCTCATCTAATAAAATTAAAACACAGTGTTGTACTGAAAGTGTATTGAAATTTAACCTCTGGTAATTTTTTGTTAATTGGTATCCTGTACCAGGTATAGGTCTGTATTTACAGTATTATGAAATTTTCTGGAAAATTTTGGTTGAAAAGAACTGTTGTGAAAAATTTTTGCAACTTTTGTTCTCAGAAACACAACATCGGAAACTTTTTTTTGTGATACCCCATTGAGATACCAGTTCGCACGGCTCTGTGAACCCGCATAAATATAAATACTGAGTGTATATTAATATATATATATATATATAACCTAGCTATTGTATATTAAATACATACAGTATTAATTGTACATACCAAGAATATTGTCATCATTATTTTCCACTAAAATTCACAAGATACAGTATACGCATTAGTTGCATGGAAATGATTTACAATGAAGAGTTCTTAATGGGGCCCTACAGTCATTTTTTAGTTGAAAAGCCAGGGACTCCACAAGGATTTGTTTGGCTGTATCTTACATGTACAAGCATTATCCATGAGTATGAATATTTTCGCACACAGGAAAACGCATGCATGCAGTAGTACGCATGTCAAGTAGCGACAATAACAAAAAAATGTAAACAATACTTCCTTGACTAAAAAAATACTGTACGGCCCCTTTAAAATGTACTTTCATTAGTTAAATTAAACAACTCAGAAAGCTCTTTGAAATATTTTTCAAATTATACATGTATATTCATATTCATTTAACAATTAAAGCAGTTTACTTTATTCAACTTACTTGTTTTAAACTTTGTCCTTTGCTGTAAAAGAAAACATGGAAGACCAGTTAGCATTAGTAGCACACTACAATAAAATTCCTCTTCCAGAAGGCAATTTGTATTTATAATATTGAAAACTGTTTTTTAATGCTTAATATAAATTAGCAGGCAACTTGTTGTATCATTAAAATACATTAGAGGCTGTTTTAGACTATCTCAGGAGCATACATATACAGTAAATATATTAAAAATATACTCGTACCTTTCCGTTAATATCCTTTAAATTAATCTATAAAAAAGAAGAAAAAAAATGTTTAAAAAGATGAAATTGAAATAGAAAAACCCACCAAATAAAGTAGTTTCTTCTCAAAACATATATATTATACAAATAATTGTAGTTTTTAAATATAGACAAATTTAAAAATAGCATTTTTTCGGAAAAAAAACATACTGTTAAACTCCAAATGCCCTGCGAGGCTCAAAATCAAATTTTCGCGCGCTTCGTATTTATTACTTCGTATCATCGTTGCGTGAGAGTTTTTGGTAACCATAGTGATACACACAATATTCACTTAATATAGTAGAGTGAACTGTATATAGGTATATAGGGATGGAAAAGAAACTTACCTTTTATATAAATTTGCTTCAGTATCTAGACTTTTAATAAAGATATAAAATATTAATATTTACAAAGTTTTAAATGTTATAATGGCAGTATGTCGTAACATTGTTCTACTGTACAGCATATGTCATAAGACATACAGTAATGTCATTAGAGCCAACCTCAGAAACATAATATAAATATTATGTCTAGGTAACAGGCAATGACAAACTCCCTGAATGCCTTCCTCAAAAACACAATAATAGAGGCATAGATATTTACTTTGGTACATGGTATGCAGGGCTGCACGGGGAAATTTGGGGTCCTGGGGCAAATTTTTAAAAATTCCCATATTTTTTCAAAAAAAATGTTGGCAGGGGAGGGGGGTTCACAAACATATCCAAAAAAGATTAAAAAAAATTCCAGACAAATACAAGTAAAATTGATTAGGTTCAAAGACATTTTCCATATTTTCTGACTAATACCAGTAAATTTAAAGTCCAAAAGATTTCTCTCGTACCATTACTTACAGTATATAAAAAATGCTCCAGATAATTTTTTAAAATTACACCTTTTAGACCACCCCCGTCCCCCCCTTTTATCTGGGGTCCCGGGCAAATTGAAACCTCCCCCTCTCAGACATTCCAATTACTGGAGGTAAAATTTAGGGAGACTGTTCAGTGAATTTAAATCTAGGGGAAAAATAATAAAAAGTAACAAAAATCAGGAGACCATGAGACTGCATGAATTTTCAGGAGAGTCCTGGTTAAATCGGGAGAGTTGGAATGTGTGCTCTCTAAGCGGCCCTGATGGTGTGATTTGAAACTTGTGTACTACACCTCTAAAATTGTGCCTAGTAACAGGCGAAATAACCTCGAAAGCACAGTATATGTGCCCAGTATACTGGTGCTCAAACACCACAACTATTGAATGACAATTCATGACGTACTTGTACTATATGTTTGGACAGTTTTCTCTGCAAGCACTTTAAGTCGCTGTTCAGCTTCGAGTCGTTTTTGCATATTTTTACTCCTACCAATTGCTTTCAGGCGATCAAATGTCATAGGTTCAAACACAATATCATGAATCGATCTTACCCGCGATGTAGCTACAAATGTGCATCCTGCAACTTTTTCTCCTTTACCTAAATCAACAACAGCTTTTGTTAGTGTCTGTCCTTGTGACTTATGAATAGTCATTGCATACCTTAACCGCAAGGGCACTTGTTGCCTTGACAAGTACTTTCCATCAGCCACCCATTCAAACACTTTTGGTGGCACAGGTATACATTTACAACATGAATCTAAAAATGCAGGACCAGAGTAACTATGGAAGTGTACCAATACTGCTATTGGCAGGTTTGGTGGACCCATATTCTCTGCAAACCAAATCTGCTCGATAGTGCCAAATGAGCCATTGCAGAGACCAACTTCAGCCCACAGGTTGCAAGTTAGCATTACTTCTGCTTTTGTGGATAAAAACAGAACAGCGTCCAATCCACCAGCTTCGTCCGACGTGGCCGCACTGGCACCATGACCAGAATGCTTTGCCTGAATTTTACCAACAGGTTGTCCAAGCTGCAATAGCTTCTCGTAATTGTATTCAGCAACACTTTTCTTGTCAAAGTACAATCGGATGGCATCAGTGAATTGATCCATTGGTACATTTGTTGTAGAATGCTCCAACAATAGTTTCCAGTCCTCCCCTGTCACTTCTCCATTTCGCATTCTCAGCAGCAAGGCTCTAAAAGCAATTGACTCGCGGTCCTCACCAGCCTGACGCATAACTTGATCTAAAATAACGACAGACTCAAACATCAGATACAGACTATGTCCATGGTCACTTACTGCTCTTCCGTTACCTGAAACATACATTGGCTTATCACCAACAGGTGGTAATTGACCAAAGTCCCCCATTAGAATTACTGACATACCACCAAAATGGATATCTTGCTTTCCAGTACCAGCACGTAATCTATTGTCCAGCCATGATAGCATTTTATGTCCAATCATTGACATTTCATCAATAATCAGAAATCTTTTACCTTCTAGCCTCAGCTGTAACCGCTGTAGTGAGTCACCCTGCAAATCCCTATATTCACGGATAGGAAGTTGAGCAGCAGAATGTAATGTTTGACCATTAATACTAAAGGCTGCAATACCAGTAGTTGCTGTAACAACACACTGGGCGGCTAATACTTGTTTCGTTGCACTTATTAAGTATGTCTTACCTGTGCCAGCTGTTCCACACACAATCATATAAACAGGCTCGGCATTATCACCATTCTGAGATGTGATGATGTCGTAAGCAAGGCGTTGTTTTTCATTCAGGGTCCCCGGATCAATTACACATTGTTGATCATCTTCTCGAAAATGCTGACCATGTTCTTCAGCCTCCTTTCTTTGACTATAGATCCATCCCGGAGATTCCCTTAACAAATCTTTAGGCACAGCTCTTACCGTTTCAAACCAGTCCACTGCTTCATTGTCTGACATCCGATTCCCTGCTTCACCATAATCTTGGTTAATTCTGCATAACAACATCCAATCATCGACTTCCTCCTCATCATCAGGGTCAACTTCACTTTCGTCGTCATCATCTTGATTGTCACTTGGATCGTTTTCAAAGGTTTGACCACATTGCGCATCATGAACTCTGTCTGTTTCATCGGAATACCTAAACACATTTTCTTCCGCAAATTCATCTGTCATAAGAAAAAATTCATATGCATTAATAAACATTTGATCACTTTCATCCTCGTTGTTCCAAGCATTTGATGGTTGACCCTCCCATGGTTTAAACTTTATTAGTTGATATTTGCAGTATTTTCCAAAATCAGGACCAACAGGATTAGCGGAAATCTTTGGAAATGTCCTGACAATGTACGGATTCGCTCGTTTTGACAACTCACCTCTGACTTTGGTATACTCTGACACATATTGCATCAGATTTAGCTGAGACAAGCCTGTATACCTACTCTTCAATTTTGTACGTTCTGCATATTCTTGTAGCGCAGATTTTTGAAGTACCTCATCACCTTCATTTTCTGCATCAATATTAACCTTCCTGCTGTTATCTAAAGAAATAGTAACAAAACTAAATGTGCAGCCAATCAGTGGTAGACTAAGTAGCATGTGCGCAGTTTCTTGTGCTGCCATATCTCTATCTCCAGCAACTTGGATCATTGCTTTCTTGAAGGCCGAAGAGACTTGATCATCATTCTGTAATGAGGACACAGACAATTTTAGTATTTCTGACGCTGATTTCGATCGGGGTTCTCCTTTCGCAGCATACTTGGCCATGTATCTTGCACAAGCTTTCTCATCTACAATGACTTGCAAATCTACATTAGCCCGCCAGTTTTCGAGCATCACCCTGTTATGTGAATTTAACCTTTGATCATTTCGTTTGGTGTGTAACTCAGACTCAACAGACTTAGTATTCTTACCCACCACTAGCTCAAGACTCAGTTCTGTTTCTTCCTGTAATGGCTTTGGAAAACCAAATCTGCATTCTGCAAGCAGGTCCACTCTTTTCTGTTTCAAACAATATGCTGGACTGCATCTAGTGTGTCGTTCTACAGTATTAACTAACCTGTGATAATCATTGTCACGATTATCCACTGTTGTAGCGCTAACAGCAGATGGGTGAGGGTCTGGTATCCTCCAATTTTCATCTGGCAATTCCTCATTAAAAGTTGTCACCAGCCAGTCAACATACCTTTAAAATAATCATAACTTATTATTAAACATGTGCGCTTTTTCTATTAGCCAAATGTTACCGAATTAGTCATAAAACAGTTTTAATCACACCATTGACTGAGTGAAACATTTTCCTGTGAAACCTGTATGACCACAGTTAAATTTCCACTTTCTATTTATGTAATTTCTTACATTCCAATGAAATCTTCAAAAATTATTGAAAATTCCTTTGAGGAAAATTGAAACCTTTTAAGGAATTTTATAAGGAATTTTTGTTTACATGTAAAATATTGTTACTTTTTCAATTTTAATGTAGCAAAGTTTATAATGTCGTTAATACTACCGTATTATAATATAATAAAATATGCATAATAATCAAAAAGATGGGCGAAAGACCTTTCAAAATTGTGGAGATTGGCTATCTGCATATATTATTAGCTGGATATTTGGTGAGTGTTTTGTGTATTAAGGCAGATTTACACTACACAACTTTTGCCTTATGCAACCTGCTTGTACAACTTGAGTTTTACTGTGTAAATTATCAAGGACACAAGTTGACACTGTTATTCACTGTATTAGACTTGCATTTACTCACTTACGTTGTCATAGGCATAGTTGTGTGCTGGTTCACCCAGTACACTCAAGTTGTATACATGCATATAAGCAGGTTGTATGCGACAATTTTAGGCAAAAGTTGTGTACAGTAGTTTATCCTGCCTTTTAATTTACAGTAGTAGTCATATTATTAAATATCCAAAATAGGCAGCAGTGGTTAATACATGCATAATACAAAATTCGCTTTTTACAGTAGTTGACATGAACATTTGACCTGCACTATGAGAAGCGAGTCCGGTATTGTGTAACTACTGCATTAATTATGATCCGGTATTGTGCCGGTATACATGCATTTGAAGGCCTGTTGCAGGATAAAATTTTATTATTGAAACAATTATCCCACAACAGATTCTGCACAGTTAGCTTGATCTACCTGTACGTACGGTACGCATTGGAAACATTAATATGGAAAATATTTTTTCTTACTGTATTAACAACTTCTCAGCATCTTCTCCCTGTCTTATCACATTCCCGCAAAGGAATTCAAAATCATCAGGTGACATTTCGTACCTTGTTGTCTCACTCTCTAGGAATGCAACACATGCTTTATTACGTAATTCTCTAATATCAGGGTCATTTTTTAACTTTGCACATCCATGGCAATGAATACTTCCCCTAGCTTGGTACTCAAATCGATACCAGTGCCACTCAGCATCCAAGACGCCATTAAGCCAATGTCTGACAAACTCCTGCAGCCGCTGCATAAAAAACCAATCAGTCAGATGGGGATTGTCGATTACAGCTTGTGCTCGCTCAGATCTGCTTGCACCTTCATCATTCTGCAACAGCCTCTGTAAGTCTGGCCAATGCATGTCAGCTGCACTAAAGGTAAAGAAAAAAGTAGGGCAGCCTTTTTGTTCAATCAGGGCCAGCAATTCCTGCAGCCGCTGATACCAATACTGATTCGTACCTTGTACTTTGGACACATAGCGCTGCAACCTATTTACCATTTGATTTGCACTCATGGAATTGACCATCTGCTTTAGTTCTTCCATTGTCATGTTTGCATCAGCAGGATGTTGACGCAAGTAAACGTTTGCTTGTGACAACAGCTGATGTCGTTGTTTCATGTTTAACGCCCAATAAGGAAACCGAGGGTGAGAAGCAAACCTCCATTCAAACTTACCATCTGCAAGCCTCTCTGCAAACTTCATTAAATGTTTGAAAGCTTCGGTTAACGTTATACCATGTTGTCTTGCCCTATTTGTTGGGTCACCCTTCCCATAAGGAAACAATGTAGGAAAGGCCATAGTAGCTAAACCATCTGTTTTAAATTCATTAATGAGATTACCTTCAGTAGATGGCCAGTCTAACGGATCAACCTCATTTACTGCATCTTGGATAGCCGCACCTTCTTTTCTCTGTCTTTGACGCATAGGAATAAACGATGTACTGCCATTTCCTAAAACTAACTCTTCCACACTTGCATTAGCACTCATTACTGGGTCTTGGGGAGGCCCCTCATTTTCAACATGAACTGAAAGCTCATTTTCATCAATGACATACCTTAGCTCATCAGGAATACCATTTTCTGGTAAACTTTGGATGACATCTCTATCAATTTCAATATTTTTAAAGAACGGATTGTTTGTCTTTAACCATAGTACAGCCTCAAGAACTTTGTGTCGACGCACAGTAAAGTCTCGATGTGTGTCTTCTGCACCATGTCTTCGCACAATCAAGACAGGCAAGTCTGCCACACGAGAAGGCAACCTATTCAAGAAACTTTGAATATCTTGTGGTAAGTTAAGTACATGTCCTTTATACCCCCTCTGACCCCCATGTTTTCTATACACTCTCATAATGGGACAAACCCTTGAAATTAACATTTCTTCTACCTGTGTCAAACCTCTCAATTGTTCAGGAACTATTCCTGGATCCATGTCATTCTCCGCACTGAATTTCTTGGGTGATTTCTTGTCTCTCTTACACCGGTAACAAATGTATACTTCTGATGCCAAGTTCTGGCGTGTCGGCCAAGCTTCTTTACACATTGTACATTGTCGATGCTCTAAATGTTCTTGATCTAAATGAAAACTGTGCATTTCATTTTGTACAAACTCTAGCTCATGCAGAGGGTTGTCAACATTTTGCCAACCACCCTCATGTAAATATTCATTTCTACTCACCTCTGCCCCCTCTGCTTCATGTACAGACTCACTATCCTCGTCTGCTTTAGGAACAGATACAGGTATATCTACATTTGGATCAACAGACATACCCAGCTGCTCATTTGATTCTTGGTCATTTTCATTTGAACTTGTGTGAAAAACTGCTCGTAGTATTTCAAGTATTCTTGCTCGTTCATCAATTGTTTCGGTTGCTTGGTCTTGCTTTCTCTTTTGTAGCCTGTTTGTTCGTTCTTCTTCAGTCCCATTTTGCATTTTATCTAAATTATACACTCTCTTATACTCTTTTCGCTTACCTTTAGCTTCTGTAGTCCTTTCTTGCCACGCTTCTCTTCGTTTTGCCAAGTGAGTTTCTCTTTCCTCGGCACTTTCTCCAGCCTGTTTCTCTCGCCTATAAACTCTCTTATAATCATTTTGTTTACCTTTCGCTTCAACAGTCTTTTTTCCCCATGCTTCTCTTTGTTTCGCCAAGCGAGTTTCTCTTTCCTCGGCACTTTCTGCAGCTTCTTTCTGTTGCCTATAAACTCTCTGATACTCCCTTTGCTTACCTTTTGCTTCAGCAGTCTTTTTTTTCCATGCTTCTCTGCGTTTTCCCAGGCGAGTTTCTCTTTCCTCAGCAGTCTCCTCGAGCAAACGTTGCCGTCTTCGCTCCCTTCTTTTCGCCAGACGCTCGGCTTTCTTGTCGTTTTCTTGTCGCTCTTCGTTTGGCTCCATATATTTTCAATTGGTATTTAATACCGTAATTAGTTTATTGAACCTTTTATTGCTTTTAATGCTGTCAAAAGATTTTGCAAACGTACAAAATACTGTTGTGCAAAAAGCGAAATATTTTCATAAAGTATCTGTCAGTTGAAGTCGTCATTTGTCATACAACATCAAATTTAAATTTGACCAATCAGTGTTCGCTTTCATCACAGTCCGCCATAATTTTGAGATCAGTGAGGATGACCACCCACTCAACACCGTTGGTCACCCACGCCCGCGATATTTGATGAACTTTAGACTCCGCTAATGCTTTCGTTTCCCCGGGTGTAAATAGCCGGGGGGGGAATTAGTACCCTCGCACGGCGCTTCGCGCTGCCGGCTCGGGGATTAAACAAAATTTTGCAAACATTTTCAAATGCTAATAAAAGAATCCCCACCCTCCTGGGCCTCATTACATTGTCATTTTGCTTTCTGACATACATAAATGTTTTTGTTTAGAGATTGATACAAGAATGATGAATAAATGTACTGGATATTGGCTGCATGGATAATTTTTTCTGAACAACCACTTGCAAGACAATCTTACCTAAATGCATTAGCATGGAAAATAGAAAATAACTTATCAGCTACAATGAATAAATGAATAATTATACAGCTGTGTGGTATATCATTAACTGCGCACAGGACTGGAATTGAATTATATACTTCACTCATGACTTTCAAAACATTCTGTATTATTCAGTGGTCTTCGATATATGACTGACCTCTTTGACTCTTTGCTACAGTAATGCATGTTTCTCGAATAGTTTAACTCTTTCCCGACAGGTCCCTATTATATAATACAAAACATAATCCGAAGATAAGCATCTTGAAACCCAAAATATGAGTCAAACAAGAAAGTGAGTGAGTAATATTTCGATTTTATTACAAAATCATCATCAGACTAACTAAAGTTACATATATACACATGGTCTTATATATGAGTTGGCAAGGCATGATGACAGCTTAACGGAAGTCTCAATCAGAACCACGACAGTTGCAGTGAGATGTTAGTGTGATGAAATGTGGGTGTATCGATTAAGAAAAAAGCTTGAGTTCTTTGCTGGCTTTGAGTCCAGTGTTTAAACTGGGTGAATGATACTTGATATATAGAGCTTCAAGCAACAAGAGTAAGTTAGGTGTGCGAGAATAAATAGTGTGAAGAATTCGAGAGTTGTCAGATATTAAGTTGGAAATAAAAGTGGAAACGTTATTGTCAGCGTCAGTTGGGTTGTTAAGTTTGTCAAAAACAAAGTGTAGGTTTACAATGTATTGCACATGTTCGCAGTTGTGAAAATGTTGTCCAATAGCACTTTTGGTCGGATTGGTATGTTCAGCGAGTCGCGTCTGTAAACGTCTTTCTGTTTTCCCAATATACGTTGCGGAACAGCCAGGACATGTCACCTCATAAACTACATTGGATTTCGAAAGATTCGGAATTTTGTCTTTGTTGGAAAGGAAATAAGAAAACTTTTTGTTGTCATAAACAACTATAAAATTTACAGGAACAGTTAGGCATCTTTGTATTTTCTTTATGCAACTTTTAACTAAAGTTTCACCTTGTTTACCAAGGTATGGAACGCGAACCCAAACCTTAGGCCTAGTGTCGTTTTCATCAAAAAAGTTAGTGCGAGGTCGATCCGCAGAAAATTTGTTTTTTAGTTTGGATATCAATAAATTCCTGATCGCACGAGGAAAGCCATTCCAAGACATAAACATTTTAAGCTTCCGAACTTGGTTATCAAATAGTTGACTGGTACTGCATAATTTTGATGCTCGGTGAAACAAAGATTTAACCCACGCAGTTTTACGTGAAAATGGTTCAAAACTAGAAAAATGCGTGTATTGTCCAGTGTGCGTACTTTTGTAGTAAACATCAGTGTTATCCGACGAAATCAAAATGTCCAAAAAATGAATTACATTATCCGGAAAGGTATCAACTGTAAATTGGAGATTTTTGTCAAAACTATTAAATTTGTCAAGAACAGCAGGAATATCCGAAGGTTTTATAAGCACTAGAGTATCATCAACGTATCTTCGGTAAAACCTTATGACACCAGATTTAATTAGATCCGAAACAATAAGTTTTTCAAATTCCGAAAGAATGATGTTAGCTAGAACAGGCCCCAGTGCAGACCCCATAGAAACGCCGTCAGTTTGCTCAAAAAGTTGATTATTAAATGAGAACGCGGTTTTAGTACACGAATCAAGAATTAGTTTTTTCAAAGTCCGTTTCAAAAAAGTTGTAGTAATCAATTTTTCTTCAAAAACGCGGTCAAGAATGATTTTGACAGTTTTGGTTAGCGGAACGTTTGTGAACAGTGAAACAACATCAAACGAAACAAGGCGATAACCTTCTGAGAATATTAGCTCTTTAGGTATAGATTTTATTTCCGAAACCGCATGAAATGAATCACGAAGAGTGTACTCGTTTTGGGCTAATGGATTTAATAACTTAGCGAAAAATTTTCCAACGTTATAATGTTGTGTTCCAGTTGTGTCAATAATAGGTCTAAACGGTGGCAAGTCGTTGTAATGTTTGTGGACTTTGGGAAGCCCATGTGCTCTACCGAAGTGTGCTGCTTTAGGTCTAAGAAAGTCATAGTCAGATTGAGAAATTTCACCACTTTGTAAAAGAGTGCATAAGAAGGACTGTAGAGAGTTTAGTCTAGTAGGCGTTGGGTCAGTATCAAGTAATTTAAAACGTGAAGCGTCAGAGAAGAGAGATGTGACAGAGGAAAGATAATCACTGCGTTTCATGACAACAATGCCATTACCTTTGTCGGGTTTTAAAATGGATAGGTCTTTGGAAAGTTCAGTTAGTGTTCTGATTTTCTTTCTGTCCGTGTAGAACTCGCGCAAATCTAGATCAATACAACTGTAGGTGAAGGAGCGTAACGAATTCTTGATTTTATCTTGTATATGGCGTCCGTCTTTAAACTTATTGAGGCGAGCGATTTGATCCCAAACGTCTTCCGATACAGCCATTATTTCAAATTGGTTAGGTCTTGTTGCTAGTCTGTGTCTTAATCCAAGTTTAAGTACATCAATTTCATCAGATGAGAGAGCGCGGCCGGACAAGTTTATGATGGTGTCATTTGGGTTCTCTTCGATCGCATCCGCCGTTTGCTTGAGTTCAATTAGGGTGTTCAGTTTTCTATCGTGTCGGGAAGTGATCTTACTTTTCTCGATGCTGAGTAAACGATTAATCGAGAAACAAATGAGTCGGAATTTCATCCACGTAGTCTGTTTCATCCACGCTCCTTCACCTACAGTTGTATTGATCTAGATTTGCGCGAGTTCTACACGGACAGAAAGAAAATCAGAACACTAACTGAACTTTCCAAAGACCTATCCATTTTAAAACCCGACAAAGGTAATGGCATTGTTGTCATGAAACGCAGTGATTATCTTTCCTCTGTCACATCTCTCTTCTCTGACACTTCACGTTTTAAATTACTTGATACTGACCCAACGCCTACTAGACTAAACTCTCTACAGTCCTTCTTATGCACTCTTTTACAACGTGGTGAAATTTCTCAATCTGACTATGACTTTCTTAGACCTAAAGCAGCACACTTCGGTAGAGCACATGGGCTTCCCAAAGTCCACAAACATTACAACGACTTGCCACCGTTTAGACGTATTATTGACACAACTGGAACACCACATTATAACGTTGGAAAATTTCTCGCTAAGTTATTAAATCCATTAGCCCAAAACGACTACACTCTTCGTGATTCATTTCATGCGGTTTCGGAAATAAAATCTATACCTAAAGAGCTTTTCTCAGAAGGTTATCGCCTTGTTTCGTTTGATGTTGTTTCACTGTTCACAAACGTTCCGCTAACCAAAACTGTCAAAATCATTCTTGACCGCGTTTTTGAAGAAAAATTGATAACTACAACTTTTTTGAAACGGACTTTGAAAAAACTAAGTCTTGATTCGTGCACTAAAACCGCGTTCTCATTTAATAATCAACTTTTTGAGCAAACTGACGGCGTTTCTATGGGGTCTGCACTGGGGCTGTGCTAGCTAACATCATTCTGTCGGAATTTGAACATTAAATCTGGTGTCATAAGGTTTTACCGAAGATACGTTGATGATACTCTAGTGATACGTTGATGATACTCTAGTGCTTATAAAACCTTCGGATATTCCTGCTGTTCTTGACAAATTTAATAGTTTTGACAAAAATCTCCAATTTACAGTTGATACCTTTCCGGATAATGTAATTCATTTTTTGGACATTTTGATTTCGTCGGATAACACTGATGTTTACTACAAAAGTATGCACACTGGACAATACACACACTTTTCTAGTTTTGAACCATTTTCATGTAAAACTGCGTGGGTTAAATCTTTGTTTCACCGAGCATCAAAATTATGCAGTACCAGTCAACTATTTGATAACCAAAATGTTAAAATGTTTATGCCTTGGAATGGCTTTCCTCGTGCGATCAGGAATTTATTGATATCTAAACTAAAAAACAAATTTTCAGCGGATCGACCTCGCACTAACTTTTTTGATGAAAACGACACTAGGCCTAAGGTTTGGGTTCGCGTTCCATACCTTGGTAAACAAGGTGAAACTTTAGTTAAAAGTTGCCGATAAAGAAAATACAAAGATGCCTAACTGTTCCTGTAAATTTTATAGTTGTTTATGACAACAAAAAGTTTTCTTATTTCCTTTCCAACAAAGACAAAATTCCGAATCTTTCGAAATCTAATGTAGTTTATGAGGTGACATGTCCTGGCTGTTCCGCAACGTATATTGGGAAAACAGAAAGACGTTTACAGACGCGACTCGCTGAACATACCAATCCGACCAAAAGTACTATTTAGACAGCATTTTCACAACTGTGAACATGTGCAATACATTGTAAACCTACACTTTGTTTTTGACAAACTTTAACAACCCAACTGACGCTGACAATAACGTTTCCACTTTTATTTCCAACTTAATATCTGACAACTCTCAAATTCTTCACACTATTTATTCTCGCACACCTAACTTACTCTTGTTGCTTGAAGCTCTGTATATCAAGTATCATTCACCCAGTTTAAACACTGGACTCAAAGCCAGCAAAGAACTCAAGCTTTTTTCTTAATCTATACACCCACATTTCATCACACTTACATCTCACTGCAACTGTCGTGGTTCTGATTGAGACTTCCGTTAAGCTGTCATCATGCCTTGCCAACTTGTATATAAGACCATGTGTATATTGTAACTTTAGTTAGTTTGATGATGATTTTGTAATAAAATCGAAATATTACTCACTCACTTTCTTGTTTGACTCATATTTTGGGTTTCAAGATGCTTATCTTCGGATTATGTTTTGTATTATATTTTTTGAAATTGTCGGCTGGTATTGGTTTTTTACAATAACTGTATATAACATGAAGTTTCCTGAACAAAATGGCGGAAATTTTAATAAAAAAATGTTGATGTTTGATCGTACAATACAAAAAAACTGCGGGTCTGTGCGAGTGACAACAAGTGAATTCGTACTCAGCGTATCAAAAACTATAGATTTATGTAAACTAAAAGTAGGTCCCGAATGGGGGCAGCGGAATTGAACAATAACTGGTCACAGAATACGGCCTAGTAGCCCACAAGGAATTTTCGCTAAGATTTGCCTGTGACCTTTCAAATTGTTTGATTTTGATCATAAATGTTTATGGGAGGTTTTTCCTTTCAAGTGCAACTAATGTTTTCAATTCTTGATTGGCACTGTTCTACAATGAAGTACTCTTGGATACTGTAATTTAAATACATATGAAGACGAATTAAGTGGCATTTATCGGGCAGACAAGTGGCGAGGCATTGCAATGGCGCCATATTTCGCGAAATATCGAAGGACACAATATTGAAGATAAAATACACTGCACTGCTTCAAAACTTGAGGAAACGTGGTTGAATTCTTCTTTAGTCATTAATCATTATATGTAAGAGCAAAAGACAAAGAACCTTTCAGTATTCTGCTGCAAAAGACTGGGATAGTTTACCGAAACACATTCGGGAACTAGAATCTCTAAGTTCATTTAAAGTTGCTGTTTTTAAATATCTCTTAAATTTAGATGTTACAAGCCATTGTTGTAGCATCATATAACAGCTGTAGTAGCGTAATATCATGTTTGCGTGAATTTCTATTGTTCTATTGTGCTGTATTAGTAACTAATTCACTCGCCTACTCAAATGTACAGGTCGTATTAGAACTAATACGACCTCAGTTGACGTCACTACGGGTCGTATTAGTATTACCACATCACCTGGAAAGTTTGAGCAAAATTATCACAAAATTATGACATATGTCTGAACATATGACAGTGTCTGAACACTGATTTGGGTGAAATTCACGCAAAAATAATATTACAAAGTAATATCATGAAATGAGGAGTATTAGTCATTAAACCACCCGCTCGACTCGGGTCATTTATTAAAATTCCCTCGGGCCGTAAATGACCCTCGTCGAGCGGGTGGTTTAATGACTAATACTCCTCATTTCATGATATTACTTATAATTGTAGCACCTTTAAACATCAAGATAACAATTTCTAATTGTATATATATAACTTTAGTTATATAGCTTTGGTTTTTTTAATATATAGTACTTGCTGCACTTGTATTTATACCAGCGGTCACCTCTGTGTCGGCTGACACAATTTTTGCAGTTTAAATAAAGTCATTATTATTATTATTACTAACAGAAGTTGAATAATTTTACATGAAAGGTAGTAGTCGCAATACATCAAGAACAACAAGACATGGTTACATACCTATCTTTCTTGGGCTGAAACTCGCAACCAGAGACAGGACATAGAGAGACCTAAATTTGACCAACGGACCCATCTTTCACCAGTTTTACACCGATTTAAAAAAGAAAAATGGTGAAGATTACTAACCGGAAAGTTTAGCTGTGATGCAAACATCTTTAGACCGTCATTTGAAAGAAAAAGGCTAAACACTATCAAAAGCAAGGAAATTATGTGAGGATCAAAGGGAAGTAGACTGGATGCTCCAAAGGCACTTACCTGGCCAGAAGAAATTGAGCTGTGGAAAGCTGGCAAGCTCAGCATTGACAACTCCGAAATGTTAATCCATACGGTTTGGTTAACGTTAATGCAACACATGGGACTATGAGGACGCCAAGAACACGCTCTAGCTGATATTGACGATTTTGTCTTTGGTAAAGATGAGAACAATGTCGAATATGTCCAATTCAATGATTTAAAGCCAACAAAAACTTGTCAGGGCAGCTTGTCTAAGACTGGTAGTTCATGATTTGTGTGATCGATGTTTGCTTCACTTATAAAATATTCATTAAATAAATCTGCCACTTTTTTGTGCATCACAAACAATCTGAGATCCCTCCCATATAACTGGAATTGATATACAGCAATTATTATTAAAAACTGACTTAACATAACCTCCACCATTTTTTTGGCTCAAACGAAAATCTGATAATTGGATATTTAGTTTGTCGTAATATTTTATTTTTGTTTCTCGAATCAGAGTTGTCGTGTAGTTCCTTTGATCTTTATATTTCTTCCACAATAAACGGGTTTTTTTCTTAGAAAATTGCTTTAAAATTCTATTTCTTTTACAAACTGCACTTCTTACAGCGGATATGTCATCCATGGTTTATCGTTGGGACATATTATGACTATTCTATTTGGAATATGCTTCTTAACTGTTGAGTAAAAATAGTCAAACCAGTTTTTATAAGCATCAACAATCCGGTTATTGTCTCTTTCTCAATTTTCCCAATTAAGATTTGAAAGTTCCTCATTAAGCTGTGCTATATATTGATATTGGAGAAATCCCAAATGTGTTGTTTAAATTAAAAGACTTTTGCTTAAAGTACAGAATCTTCATTTTTGTGTAGACGTGATCACAATTCGATGGTGGACTACATGTACTCGAATCAGAAAAGTATTGTGGGCAATTAGTAATCACAACACCTAATATTGTAGACAGAGGTGGAAAAAGTGTCAGAACCCGGGAACCTAGTTCCCAGAATTTTTTTGAGTGGAGAGTTTCACAGAAAATTTTCCTGAAAATATTTCAACATTTTGAGATAAATCTGTTTACTCAACATACAACTATTCTACTTTATTTACACTGTACACACTAACATCAGAAATAATTCTGTTACCCACCCCTGTCATCATAATGATGTAAAATGGTAAATATATGCTCTGCAAAGTCTCCAATAAAATGGAAATTAAATAGTAAACAAATAAAATGTGCAACAAAATAAGCTTCAAGTGTATGAAGGGTGATCACCACCAAAATTAGTTAGTGCGATTTGGCTTGGCTTGCATGCCATTCGCCAGTGCTTACATAACATTCGGTTTGGCTTACATGACATTTGCCAATCCTTTATACATGACATTCGGATTGGCTTACATGACATTCAGCGTAAGCAAAATGTGCCATACGAACACACAATCAGTATAGACAGCGGATTACTTCTGTATGAGCCTTGCGAACACACAGGGGACACGAAAAATGCAAATAAGGGTAAAACTTAGTGTAAATAACGACGTATGAATGTTTGTGCACATGTTCACGTCACATGTTGCGAATGTTGTAAATAATGGCGGACGATACAAGGAAGAGAATCGAGGCAGCTTGATTAATGTGAGAGGCCGCAACACTGCTGGAAGAGTCAAACAAGGAGTCAGGTGATGCAGCACAAAGAAATACTTCGAGGAATTACAAAAACTTTTTCCTCCTTATTGAAGAGAAGCCACAAGTACTCGACAAACACTTCACGAAGTGAAACCACCAAAAGAAAAGCGGCAACGTTGTGGTTGGGTCTCAATGTTCAACCCCTTGCCAACATAGACACATCAATTTTGCCTTCTATCTGATAAAAATGTGACCACAGCTCCCAACATCTCCCAAAAAGAAAAGCTGAAGGTAATGGGACTTGGTGAACTAAAAATAACCTTTGGTGACAAAAAGGGCAATCATCAGTTTCTCAGACGAGTGCTCGAAGAGAAGTTTCCATTGTTGAAAGAAGCTGGTGATTATTCAATTTTCAGGACAGAAACTGGAAGTCAGAGTTTACAGGTCATCACTCCTGGAAAAAATGGCTATTCCATACCATACTTACGAGATGAATCCGCAATTAAGGCAGGCAGTGCACCCTCTCCAGAAATCAATTTTCACTTATACACCACAAATCGAGGTAAGGTATTTTTTCATAACTGTTAACTTTGTCTCTGTTCACTTTATAATTCAGTTGTGTATGTTGTAAGCTATTAAATCCAGGGCAATATTATTAAATTGACATCACATCCACTCAAGTAGGGGTCAAGTGTGTGTGTTTAATAAGGATAAAGGATGGCTTTTATGAGTAGGAGAACTTATTTATATAACATGCGTTGAAATCCCAGTTCAATGGTTGATCCCCACCTGAGGACAATTATGCTAAAACATCATGTGATAGAAACCCAAAATGCCTTCATTCCTCAGACAATGAAGATCCCATTCTCCTTTACCTGTGTCTATTATTTATATATACTGTATAAATTTATCTACTTGTATGAACAAACTGCAGGATGTTTTTCTGGCAATTTTTGCCAACCCTTTTGGTGGTGTCATATCATCATTAACACCCCCCCCCCCTGCTTGAAACGTTTTTTACTGCCAGCCCAGCATGTTGTGTTGTGTTGTATAGAATGTGGATTTGCAACTCTGTATAATTCCATTCATTACTCACATATTCATTTTGTATTGTTTAACTCATTAACGCCCAAGCTGTTACAATGTTTCTACCCCCCTAACGTGCAAGCAATATGGCGAATACGTGACTGAATTCAAGAGCTTTCACCAAAATGGCAATATCTCAGAAACAGTTGCATGAAAAAATCTGGTCTTTTCAACCAAATATTATTAATATATGATTGACCAAATTTAGTTTAAATGAACTTGCATACCTATATATATCATTAGTTTTTTCAATGAGAATTTTTATTTGGAAACCAGTGACACTATTTTTTTCATGTCACTCATCACCTAAAGGGGCAATATCTCCATATATTTATATAAAAACCAAAAAAAAAATTATTTACTAAATTAGTACATATCTATATTATAACCAGTTTTCATCTATTGGGATATGAATTAGAAAATGATCAAAAATCATAAAAAATACTCCTTTGCTTTTTTGGGCAAGATGTTTACAACATGAAATTTAGAACAGTAACTAAGTGTTAAAATTCAACAAAGTGTGCAAGCCAAAACACAGTGCTTGTACATCTTTGGAGTTTTTAAAAACCTCAAATATATTTAAAAGGACATACGGTACTAGAATCTATTTGTTTTCAATAAAACCAAGGATGGGAAGGTGAGAAAATAGGAATTTTCTGAGGTGTTTTTAACACAGACAATGACAGCCGACATTTTCAAAGGCAAATTGCGGTGACAAAACCAAAAGTTATTCACTTCTCTACTCAAAGCACTGAAAAAGACCATAAAGAGAAAAACATTTTAAACATACATCAGGTAAGCCTTTTAGCTCAATTTTCTCATGTTTCTGTTT